TGCTCACTCACAGCTGAGAAGACAGTCTTGACATATATACTTACTTGGCCAAATGACCATTGGTAGACATAATATCAAGAGCAAGGACCGACAGCTACTAGAAAGGGGCAATCATGTATAGATTTGAGTCTCTATATAATTTTAAATAGCTTTTAACATACTTACAACTGATTATTAGACAATAAAATATTTCATATATTCAATGATCTTGTGGCTATTTTAATATAATTTGTTTTCCACTTCTTCCATTGAAAGATTAGACAAAATTTTGGTTCATTGCAGATCTTTTTATTTATTTTTCATTGCAGATCTTATTTAAGGATTTAGAGTAAAGATATCCACTGGAAAATACTAGCACAATAATGAATTTGTGGTTAATCCTGAAGTCATGTTTATGGAAGAACACAAAGTTTCTGTGCTTATGAAATAAACATATAGCTTATTCAAAGTGCTAGTAAGGTGTACATTTGTATTTTCCCATCTAAAGATGCTCATAACTTGCCAATATGGTAAGCAAGTTAAAGTGGTATGGTTTATATCATAAACATGAGGTTTATTTTATCACCAGTTTATTTATGCATTAATAATCATTTTATATATGATAGTTGAAAAATATCACTTATATTTTTCAATAGTTTTCAAAAGTTTCTAAAATGTTTTTGAGCTCACAGAAAAATGCTTCAATCAATAGCCACTAATCATCTTTTGCACTACAGATGTCACAAGATTCTTGGAGAAGAATACATATTTGAGTGAACAGTAGGTCACCTAGGATATCAGAGAGGAAATTAAAAAAATCCACAAGGAATGATAATGAAAACAAAACCTATCAGATTTGTTAAGGAGGGTAGGAGGAAAAGTAACTGGAGAGCATTTTATACATCCATGAAATAGTCAAACAACAAAATTTACTACTAAAAAATGAATCAGTCAGATAGACAATGTCATTGTTTAAAAAAGAGAAATTCTACGTAGGGAGTTTTAAAAACACAATCTCTGTTTGAACAGATTATTCTTATCAAACTGGAGAACAGATTGGAGTGATTGTGAACTGGAAGGAACTTTTTACAATAATCCACAAAGATGCTGGGCTGTGGTAGTGTGCGCCTTTAATAGCAGCACCTGGGAGGCAGAGGCAGGCGGATCTGCTGTAAGTTCTAGGACAGCCAAGAGATGTTAAAAAGAGAAACCCTGTCTTCAAACAAGCAAGCAAGCAAGCAAGCAAACAAACAAACAACCAAAAACCAAAAAAACCAGAAAGAATAATCCACAAAGTTAGTAAAGACCAAAATAACCCACCAAAAACCCAACAAACAAACAAAAACAGTGGCAATGGGATGGCGATCAGGAATGTATGCAAAGGCTGTAGAAAAAAAGTGCTGCTAGAAAGGCGGGAAAAATAAAATCTGTCATGAAACCTTATAATAAGGGATATGTATGAATACGGTGTTAAAATTCGTAGTTTAAGTAAGACCTGGGCAGTTACAACAGATAACAAACTCACTTATAGACGGCACTTGAATTACTGAATTATATAAAATGTTACAAATAAATATATAAAATATGAAAAGGGGCAAACAATGCTTGTAAATGAATTGACAAAAGAAGGCAAACTTACAAAAGAGCCAATAAGGAGAAGAGGAGCTCTGCTGACTTGACTCTGCTCTGCCCGCAAAGGCAAGTCATCTCTCCTTACATATGACTTTAGACAGCACCCATCTTAATAGAGGCTTAGTTTTAAGTCTATACTTGCTGAAGAAACTGAGTAACACTTAACTAAAATGTCTAGGTAAAATTATAATACTCTTGGGTATTAAAATGATTGTGTTTGATCCATTATCCCCGAAACACTTGGCACTCAGGCAGGTTATTAACAGAGGCTGACCTATCTGCCTTAGTGAAGAAATGAAGAGGAGAAAGCAGATGAGGGGAAGTACTTTTCTCCTGGTGGAAAACAAAATGGTCACTCCCAAATCTTCTTCTTGAGATTTCTGTGTAAATGTGAATTGGAATACATTATTTGATTTCTCTAAGAAACCAATGTTAAGGTAAAGGCCTTTGAAATTACAAGAGAGCAAAACTGATTAAGTCTTGTTATAAATGTATTAAAATTTTTAATAATTTAAGTTTACATTTGTATTTTCTAATGTATCTTGGTTCACATTGATATCAATAAACAACTGAATATTCTGTATTTAACAGTAAATAATTTCATTAATGCTGAATTCTGAATTACATGATTTCTGACAATTTCTTTACTCTAGTGAATTTCCTAACTTTCATTTCCTTTACCAGAGAGTGAAACAAAAACAACAGAAACCCTTTAAGCCTAAAAGAACGTGAGTAAAAGGAGTAGGATAAGTGGAAGCTGCTTAAACTCTATTTTTGTCTAAAGAGGACCAGGACAAAGGAGCTTACACATGGCACCTACTATTTCACTAATTTTAGGTCTTTAACATCATCTGTTATGCCAGCTACCATTATTAAAGATATTTTAATGTTGAACCAGGAGATCTATTATGTAACAAAGTCTTAATACCTTACTCCTATTCCTTTTCTGTTCTTGAGTCTGAGTTTTCGGGCAGAAAAATTAGGATGTTGTATAACTATTCTCTAATGTTCATTGCAGTTTAAATATGCCAGTTTTAGGGTTTATGAATAAAATTCTTTACTTAGACAATTATTTCTATGTGTGAATGTGCACGTGTGTCTGGAGGCAAGAGGACAATGTTGGATGGTATTCCCCATAAACCATCTACCTTGTTTTTTGAGACAGGGTTGCTCATAAGGACCCCAAGTTCACCAAATAGGGTAAGGTGGATGGCAAGTGAGTCTTAGGGAAGTGTCTGCATCTCCCCAACACCGGGTTTACAAGCATACGCTAACATGCTTGGCTTTTTACATGAGTCTTGGGAATTGAACACATATCTTCATGCCTGTATAGTAAGCATTTCCTGATGGAACTATCACCCAAAACTTAAATTAGTTTGTGTTGTTTCTGTCTTCATAAAAATAACTAAGAACTATATTTCACTTAGAAAATATCAAGTATAACTTTTGGGGAGGTGGGCGTGATCATAAGTATATTAACTAGAAGTGCTCAGGAGCTTAGTCTGCTGGAACTCAATGTCTAAATCCAATTTCTCAGGTTATTAGAAGTGGACATGATTAGAAACTTACTACAGTGTGGTGGCACTGTTAGGAGATGTTATGTACCTTCCAGAGCAGAGGCCTTGTAGGACACTGTAGTCCTCAGGGAAGGTATGTTCATGACAGGATTATGGGACTCTGGCCTCTTCCTTTTCTTCTCACTTTTTGTTTTCTGGTTCATGAGGTAAGTTGTTTGCTCTGTCACTATGATGTGATGCCTCATTAAAGGCTCAAAGTCACAGGACACAAATTAGAATTTCTTCTTAAAAAAAGAAAACTGGGCATGATGGTGTGCACCTTTAATCCCAGTATGCAGGAGGTGAATTCAAAGTCAGCCTGGTCACCAAAGTGAGTTCCAGTCCAGCCAGGTATACACTGACACTGTTTCAAAAGACCACCAGCACCATTACCACCACCACCACCACCACCACCACCACCACCACCACCACCACCACCACCACCACCACCACCACCAAAGATAAAAAACAAAAAAAGACCAGACATTTTTCTCTATAAATTAATTATGTCAGATACTTTGTTATAGTGACTGAAAGCTAAGACAAGTACATTTTCATTATCTTTTCATAAACTTTTCCAAATACACTACAACTAAGAGAAAAAAAAAGAAGCTAGGTAGAACAGAAAATAAATCAGAGTGATTATTTTATAATCCATGGATAAATTAGTTTTTTTAGCTATAGAGATTTCTCTACTTATGTTATATCCTAAGAAATATTTGTAAATTGAAAATATCATTAATTAAAAATATGCATTTAAATGGGGGTATGGTGGCATATGCCTGTAATCTTATCACCCAGGAAGCTTTTGCTGGAAAATTAAAGATTGGAAGACAGCCTAGGCCACATAGTAGGATCTTACAAAAAAGGAGAGAGAAAGCATTTGCTATCTAATCTAATCTAGTGTATATCACAGCTCCGCAATATGATAATCGCTATGTGGCTGACTAGGAACTACAGCTTGCTTCTGCACTCACCATTATAAGACAATGTCATGCCACATATTACTAGTTCCAAACTATCAAAATGTAAACTTGATGGAGGAAGGTCATTGGTTAAAAAATAAAGAAACTGTTTGGTTGGCCCTCATAGGGTTAAAACATAGGTGGGAGGAGTAAACAGAACAGAATGCTGGGAGGAAGAGGAAGTGAGCTCAGAGGCCATGCTCCCCTCTATCCGGCAGATGCCACGGAGCAAGCTGCCAGGTCAGACATGCTGAATCTTTCCCGGTAAGACTGATGCTACACAGATTATTAGAGATGGCTTGATCAAGATATGAGAATTAGCCTGTAAGGGCTAGAGTTAATGGGCCAAGCAGTGTTTAAAAGAATAGAGTTTGTGTGTTGTTATTTTGGGTAAAGCTAGCTGGTGGCTGGAGCTGGGTGGCGGAATGCAGCCCCGCAGCTCCCACAACATAAACTGTAGTTTTCTGGACATGTAGAGTGTTTTTGTACCTTTATAAAGCTGGAAAATTAAGACAGAAATGGTCTGCATGAATTTTCTACAACCCATGGTTATAAGACATTAGTTATTTTCAACTCCTAATAGAAAAGTCATCAAAAGAACTCAGAATTGTCTTATTTTTCTGATTCAGTGCCGACAGCCCCATCTTTAGGTTAGAATTCTGGTATTTAGAATAAAAAACAGACGGCCCCTTCATATTTTTATGAAGCAAAAGCTATCTGATTATTAAGTTGATGATAGTTTAACAGAGAAGAGGAGCAGAAGGAAGACTCTGATACGGGCGGTGGTGAGTAAGCACCCTCTTGTAGGAACTGGTACACTCATGCTGCATTGGTCTTTCTTGGAAGACAAAGATAGATATGGCAGTACCTCGGTAATTGATGATTTCTGTACCAAGCACCGGAGTCATCTCCAGGACTGTAATGAAGGCTTTGTCCATAGATGTCAGAGGAAAAGGAGACATGCGATGTCTTCGAGCCACCTTGGTGATATCTACAGCACTGTGACCTAAACAGGAGACAATCGACTGAGAATAAGACACTGAAACACCCATCAACAAGTAAGAATGACTTTAAGCACCCAAACTTCTAATCTCTGTGTCCCTGTCAAACAGTATTTCTCTTGTTTCTGACTGTAGAACATTAAATGAAAATTAAAATATGTCAAAACTTTGTGAAATTTAATGATACTGGCTGGGCACTGAATGTTCACTATGGGTCAAGTGACTATTCTAGATGAACTACTAATTCCATGTCATAGAAAGGTTTTGTTACTGGTTTTCTACAGCCGAGGAAAGAAACTTAGATAGGTCCACTATAGAGATGAATGCTTTGCACTGTTATGGATTTTTAATTTATTGATATAAATTTAAGGCCAATTTTGTTATATGTATATTTCTGCTCTTGATTAAGGTATTGTTTGTGAAGCTCATTAAAATATAATGTGTAATTAAGAAATATAGGTTAATAGATCGTAATAGTCAAGCATGAAGTCATGTTCATTAGGCTTCCTAGATATACAGAGATACATTCAGTTAGATTGACAATCTTCAACACTTCAAAGATTTACGGAATATGGCATTTAAAATATTTTAAGAACTTAGACTTTTCTTGACACTGAGACATGTATGCTTCTGGTAAAAAAAGTACCAATTTATTTCAAGAGGATGATGGGTATCAAAGAGGCTCCTTATGGAGTTTGTTAGCCATTAGGGCAAGAAACTGCTCTTGCCTGAACTGCTTGATGGTATGCTGTATGAACTGGACATGCAAGACACATAGAAAAATGACTGCTGAAGTTGCCTAAAGAAAGTGAGACAGTCCTTCATGGTTCCTGCTTCATGAAAGAGTCTACCAGACATTCTGTAGGACATAGAAGAAAGAAACTGATGAACTTTGCCATTACAATGCAAAACAGATCTTCAAATTTCCTGCTTCATGAAAAAGTCAGTCAGATAGGAGACTACTTCCTGAATATAATCCCAGCAGCACTGACACAGAGAGAAACAATTAATAAATGGGACCTCCTGAAACTGAAAAGCTTCTGTAAAGCAAAGGACATGGTTAACAAGACAAAATGACAGCCTACATAATATGAAAAGATCTTCACCAACTCCTTATCTGACAGAGGTCTGATCTCCAAAATATATAAAGAACTCAAAAAAATTGGTCATCAAATGAACAAATAATCCAATAAAAAATGGAGTACAGACTTAAATATAGAACTCTCAGCAGAGGCATCTAAAATGGCTGAAAGACACTAAAGGAAATGTTAAATATCCTTAGTCATCAGAGAAATGCAAATCAAAACAACTCTGAGATTAAAACATCTTACACCTGTAAGAATGGCCAAGATCAAAACGACTGATGACAACTTATGCTGGAGAGGTTGGGGGGTAAAGGGAACACTGCTGCATTACAGGTGGAAGTGGATATCAGTATGGCAATTTCTCAGAAAATTAGGAAACAACCTTCCTCAAGACCCCGTAATACCACTTTTGGGTATATACCCAAAGGATGTTCAATCGTACCACAAGGACATGTGCTCAATTATGTTCACAGCAGCATTGTTTGTCATAGCCTGAACCTGGAAACAACCTAAATTTCCCTCGACTCAAGAATGGATAAGGAAAATGTGGTATATTTACACAATGGAGTACTACACAGCAAAAAAAAAAAAAAAATGACATCTTGAAATTTGTGGGCAAATAAATGGAGCTAGAAAATACCATATTGAGTGAGGTAACCCAGGACCAGAAAGACAATTATCATATGTACTCACTCATAAGTGGTTTTTAAACATAAGCAAAGAAAACCAGCCTCATCACAATCACAGAGAACCTAGACAACAATGAAGACCCTAGACATACATGGGTCTAAACTACATGGGAAGTAGTAAAATATATCACGATATTCTGAGTAAATTGGGAGCATGGAGACCATGGGAGGGAGTTTAAGGGAAGGGGAGAGGCAGGAAGGGGAGCAGTGAAAAATGTATAGCTCAATAAAAAAAAAAGTCTGCCAGATACTATGGGTCTGTAGGCTGAATATGGATGCTGTAACGTTACAGAAGAACTTTGGATAACTGACCAGGCAGCAAGATGTATCTGTCAGTTCTAGAGTTTTGGAAGTTGCTTACAATGCACTTCCTGTTAACTTAGGTAATAGTATATCCTTCTGGGGTCTTAGATGGAGTTGAAGAGTAGATAGTTATAATTATAGGTTTCCTTAGTTATGATAAAAGATAAAGTAAATATAAATATTGTAACTATACTTCTTGCTTGATAACTGTTTTGTTTTATGTAATTTTACTATGTTAAAATTAAAACTTTCCTTTTTAATTAGACAGAAAAGGGGAGGTGATGTGGGATTCCTCTCTGTACGTTGTGAATATGTTTTATTGTTGTCGTTGGTTAATAAAGAAGCTTTTGGTGCCTGTAGCAGGGCAGAATAGAGCTAGGTGGGAAAACTAAACTGAATGCTGGGAGAAAGAAGGTGGAGTCAGAGAAACACCTTCTAGCCACTGAAGGAGAAAGATGAGAGCCACCAGCTAGAACCTTACTGGTAAACTATGAGCCTCATGGTAAAATACAAACTAATAGGAATGGGTTAATTTAAGATGTAATAGCTATTTAGAAATATGATTAAGCTATTGGTCCACTGGTGCTGTAATTAATACAGTTTCTGAGTGCTCATTTTGTATCTGGAAATCTGGAAAACAAATGAACGGCCTCAGTCTACATAGGACTCATATCTTTGCTTAGTCACACAGATGGTAACAAAAGAGCCAGGATAAAATTCTAGTTAGTTCGGGCTTTAGGATTCATACCTTCAACTATTGTACTGATCTTTAGATATTTAATGAACTAGTTAGCAAAGTGAATTTATCTAAGATTTATTGGAACTCTTCTTTTTCCTGTAAAAAGTCACAGAAGATTATATGTAGCTATCCATTCTTATGTAATCTTATTTTGTCCTTTGGCATTAATATCATAAATACAGAAAAAAATGCTGATTTTATTTATCTTCATTCTCAACCTCTATCCTCAACTTCATATTTGTATATTACCTAAGAGTTGGTAGATAATGTATTTTTCCAGGCTAGTAATCATCTAACATTTACTTAAATATGCAATAGACAACTCAAACCTAAAATTTCCAGAATTAAGCTCTTAAATCTCTAATTTCCATTATCACCCATAGGATGTTTCATTTCTCTTGCAGTTCTCAACTATTCATTTTACCAGTTTAATAACTGGGCAAAGCAATGGAGACATCCTGATTCTTCTCCTTTTGTCAGAGCGCTAACTAAACTCCCTTGAAAAGATACCTAGAATCTGATAGCTACTTACCACTCCCATCATTTATGTTCTGGTGACTGAAGAGCCTCTAAACTGTTCTCCTGATTCTATCCCTGTTCCATTGCAGTTTATTTACCACACAGCTATGTGCTCCTAAGTTGCAACATACTAACTTACAGCTCTCAAAGACTTTAAATTTCACTTACATCAAAATCTCTGTTAGTGTCTATATAGCCCAACATTGACCACCCCCATAATTTTTGCACCACCTTTACCCCAGCATATCTGGTAGACAGGGCAAATGATAGGTCAAAGTTTATGTGGCTGGATTGGAGTCTCAATCCATCTACTGGAAATCTAGAAAACATATATTGAGGTAATTCTGAAAATCGAAAATCTGGGTAAGTGAACAGGTAATACAGGGCATCTTAAAAATAAAATTATAATTTCTTATGTTGTTTTGAATTTCATGACTTTATAAGTTTCCGACATGAATATTAAAGGCAATGCACATCACAGCATTACTGACATCGAAAACATGGATAGAAAGACTGCTTATTTTCTAGGGCTGAATAACAAATACTAAAGGAGAACAGTCGAGAGAGGCCTATGCATCAATTACATAACACAAGGCACTGTTGGCACAAAATGTCAGCTCTGTAAATCATTACATCAATGATTCACTATCATTCATAGGATACAATTTCAATTCTTTATGATAGTATATACATTTTTCTTTCTTCTTTTTCAGCTTCCCACTCATTGCTGCATTGCTTATAAAACTGGCAATATTGTGGATAAGTAAACATACAGTATCATTTTATATTTTCTTGTTGTAGTATGAAATGTTCTATCAGCCTAGAATAATTTTTCTCTCATTATTTTGTTTGCTTGTTTGTTTCCATGGGAAATTACTATTCTTCCCTCACAACGTTTTTTCAATAAAGAAAGAACATAGGGAAAAAGATCTTAGAGCAAGCCAGCAAGGCTCCTTTTTGACTAAACCTGGTACAAAGTTATGGCAAAAATCAATAGATTTATTTAACTAAATGAAAATAATTCATGGACAGTAATGTAAATAAATTATTTAAGAATACTTCCTTATTAACAAACTTACAACAGCTAAAATAAGCGGAATTAGAAAAGCCTGTATTGGCAATCATTATGCTAATAGCTGCTTCAGACAAAAATTATTAACAGATACTAAAACTAGAAGGGAAAAGCCTAATGAAGAACAAGGTATTTATACAGGTTAAAATATATCACCATGCTGGGCGATGGTGGCGCACGCCTTTAATCCCAGCACTCGGGAGGCAGAGGGGGGCGGATCTCTGTGAGTTCGAGACCAGCCTGGTCTACAGAGCTAGTGCCAGGACAGGCTCCAAAGAAACAGAGAAACCCTGTCTCAAAAAAACCAAAAAAATATCACCATGAGGTACTTATAAAATACAAAGTCAAAGCATTATTTCTTAGTGAAAAACCTACTATCTAGTGATAATAAGTAGTAGTAATGAAGAAATTTACATAAAGGCCTCACTGACATGATTGATATATTGTGAGGGACACAATATCTTATTTGAAGTATTCCCAAAAAATTGCATAGCAATTAAATCACTTTGAAAATCAGAAAAATTAAAATTGAAGGTCATTATAGAAAATAACTGACCTATGCTCTTCAAAAATTTTGAGGCCATGAGAGACAAAGAAA